GAATGTCCTAGTGTTTGCTAGACGCCCTCTTTTTTTTAGTATATAAGCCTGGCAAAGAAAGCCAGCGACATAGGCAGATAGATCGAAGAGATAGATTGCAGAGATAGATAGATTGATGATATAAATAATTGAGTCAAGCAAACAGCAGGCACCATAAGTAAAGTGTGTGAATCACTATGATTTATAGCGTGTGTTATAAAACTTGTTAAGTGTATTACAAAGTTTGTATCGAGAAAGAATAAACTAGTTTTAATCAAGAAGGGATTTGTATCTCTGAAGTTTCTCGGAAAGAATTTTTACAGGAAATTGTCAAACAAGCAGATACGCAACAATATATTCTAAACCAATTGGTAGTTTTGAATATTATTCTTTAATACATATTATATTTTAGACACTGAACAAACTGACCTAAACTCCATGCTTCACTGATTCTCGTATTCATTGTGTATCTTTGTTAATAGATATTTCAATCTCAATCATTAACATTCACGAGCATTCTAGGACTACTTTTACAGATTTTCTAATATTAGCGTAATCATTGTGTTAGCATCTCCCTCTAGTAAGCAACTAAATTCAAATATCAAAATTACAAGTTACAAGAAGTGCGTATGGTTTTTTTATACCATAATTAGAGTACAGCCCGTCAAAAATGACAGGGCAAGTACTAGTGCCTATACGCCATAGTATACCCTAACTTCACATTTCATAACTAACTGAAATAAATAAATTTTGCGAAATCAAGTTTAACCAACAAAGAGGCAGAAAAGTAGAGTCGAGGCAGTCAAACGTCGGTAAATTCCTTTGTGAGCTAATAAAAATTAAGATTATTCATGAAATGAATTCGTGGCATATTCATAGAATAATTATTGGTAAAAAACTTCTAATATATAGAAAACCCAGTGTGTTTTGATATCACTACGTTCCAACGATGGTTTTTTTTTGTCATGTTGCTTAGCAACAGAAGTATAACGTAATTTTGTTGGTAATATGTCGTGAAAGTATAAAATGAAATGTATAGACAACAAAAGTGGAAAAAAAATATTTGTTGATTTCTTAATTTAGAGTCTCCGTTCATTAAAGAGGTGTGTATTTTATTTAAAACATTGGTGAGATAACAGAAAGGAGCTTAATTCAGAGACGATTTAGGTTTAAAATTGAATCGATATTTTTACTTGCATGATAACGTTTATGCACTTGGCTCTAGTCAAAGCTACTGAGTCTGGGCTAGGTGATCCCACACTATGTCTTTAGTTTAGGCTTATTATACCAACATTCACTACGCTTGTAAGGTGTCACACACCCTTCACCCCCATCACTAACATCGTAATGGGCAGACAGTAATCGAAATATTCTATCGGGATAAATACATTGTGGCTTTTATATAGGTTAGATGGAACTGTTTTCAAACAATGTAAAGTAAAATTATATTGGTAGTTGTAGCCATTGGTATTACTATTAGTAATATCCACAACTATAATATAAGACTTTTAAATTAGAGTCATCAAGGGTTGGCAGTGCTAGTAGTAGTAGTAGTACTAATAGCACTAGCACTTATTAGTTGTACACCACATATGTAAATTAAGATATTAACGATAGATATATTAATATGTTTGAGTGAAGCTTGTATGTTTTCAGTTGTCAAGGTATGTTGTAATGTAATGTATTACTAGTAATAATAGATCTAATACTGAGTAATACTAATATGAGAACAACGATGAAGTGCTATAGATATATAAATATTTCTAAATAATATATCTGTTATTT